AAACGTTTCATTGAAAAAAGTTTTAAGGTCATATCCTATATTTCTCTGACTAAGTACTACTGTAGTTGTCTATTATGAAAATTTGAATTTTGTTATGTTTGAAAACGTCTACTTTTTCAGCGTTCCCATGCTCGGTTTTTTCGGATTTTTGTTTGTATATTATCATGTATAAATGATTTCAAATAATGGTCTAAATTTTCTTAAAGCAATCTTTCCCCCCTCAAATTGTATTTCACCCGGATTAGATGTAGCGGTGCAGCGCGCGTCACGGCTAGCGTTCCAAATTGAAGACTGATAACAAATATATTCCATAATATATCCCATCATCAAAGCAAGATGCAAACTGATGTGATGGTTATTATTGTTCAAAATTTAATGCAGATTATTTTTACAGCCACAAAATATGTGTTTTCATATCACCTGAGTTCATATTAGCAAAAATTTAAAGGTTTTACTAAAAAAATCTTTGAAATTTGGTATTTTTTTAATTTAAAGCTGTCTCATTTAAACAAAAAATATTGAAATGATATAAAAGCTATTAAAACAAACCGGAGATTTTTAAGACGCTTAGTTGTCAAACTATATCCATTTTACTAAAAGCTTACATAAATCCAATAAGGCGGAAGCTTTTTTCCAATATGGCGGCTTTCCGCCACTTCGATTTTCTCGATTTTTAGTATGATGTTCTGGACCCCTTTGTTGACAAAATCCCATATATTTCATTTCTATTGCTTTAAGTTTGATGTTGGACCCTATTTTGACTAGCCTATAAGTATTTTTTTAAATTTAGTGCGGTGCACATGAAGGTGTTATGGAATAGATACGGCTACTGCCGCTCTATTGGTAAGTTATTGTTTGAATGAAGTATTTTAAAACGTACTAGTAATTTTCGGCATTTCAAATGCCCACCATTTATAATTTAAGCCGCAAATCATGTCTATTATCAACCGCAATACCTATGTCTCCGGGAGTGTCCTGAGTATGACGATATTATTTTATTACCTACATTCAAATAAGATTAAAAATAAGAACGATGAAATACACTTATACGTTTGTTACGCTTTGAAACTGGGTCAACATAAATCAAGTTTTAGTAATAATTTTTCGTGCATGGTAGTGACACATACCGAGGTATTGAGAACTACAAGGACACCCTCTGTGACCTACAACAGTGACCTTGACCTATTGTTTCCCCTTCTGTGACCTGCGAGGGGAGACTGTAGCACACAGCCGAGAATGTAAAGGGGTAACTGGAAGGAGGGTGAGAGAATGCGTGGTGGTGATCGTTGGAGTGAAAATATACACGAATTTACTTGCATTGTTTCTTGAATCGATTTAATATTATTTCTTTCCATATTTGTAATCAGTTAAATTTTATTATCTCCCCATTAATTAGTATACCAGTATACCTAAAACTTGTATAACTAATATACAACCCCTGACCCACACTAAGTGCGTTTTTTTAAGTATAACATGATTGATGGATAAGGGGCAGATGACATATATTGGTTACACACTAAGATCAGATAGATCTTTAGCCATGGCCAGTTATTACAATCCAATCATCAAAGACATATGTGTAAAGTTTCGAACCATAACAAATCTACTTCTATCCCCACAGTCCAATTGGTCCCTGATTACTAAACGAGCACTATACCCGTAATGTACTAAGATATGTATAAAAATATGCCTAAGGACTACGGTTGCATTTGGTACACTTATTTAACTGCAATCTCTCCATTTTCACTGCTTTGATCAGTTGCCTTGAATTTAAATTTCGTACAGCATTTCCAATAAAACGTAAAAAATCGTTTTAACACAAATGAAAACGTAACATAAAGTAACATTTTCCCACTGTAAGGAACCGTATAAGGACTTGTAATAATATTTTCATTGTAGAAAGGTGCCGTAACATCAGGTAACAATATTTGAATGCAATAAGGACACTGTAGGAAGGGGCCTTACTCTTTCATCGAATTAGTGACCCGTCAGGAAATATACCGTTGTGAAAATGCCGTTGAAAATACCATTGCAATCCCTTTGTGGAAATATTGGCAATTAACAATATTTCCACTGCATAAAGGGACCATCGTTGGAAGGGACCGTACTCTTTCATCAATCAAGGGACCGTAAGATCAACAATTTGCAGTAAGGGATCGTGACCTCAAGTAACAACTTTTCCACTGTAGTAAGGGACCGTATCATAAAGTAACAGCGTTTCCACTGTAGTGCACGGAGGCTGGTGCAACTTGTAGGAGATAACCCACGATCCTCGTCTCATATTCATGCAAAGATTGCCTCTTGTCTCCTCAGCCCACAACCACTCATCCCATCACGTGTGCAATGAATAAAAACCTACATTTTATAAAGTAACACGTTGTATTATTTTGAAGAGACAGCTAACGTTTTTCAGTAAAGCTATGTGGTAAAATTGTTTACAGGAATCGATTGAAGGTATAAGTTAGTTTAGTACATTATTCACGTATTGTGTGAATCTCATAAATGCACATATATTATACATACAGTATTAAGATTAGTTTGGATTAATACGACGCCTACACACTAGGGTACTTATTTTAATGCGATGATGATATTAGGTATAGTTAATCATTGAATAAATGAGGATGGCAGTGTTTTTTTATGATTATTTGTTACCGAGAAATTTCAAAAATTGCAAATTTAAAATACCCATGTAATTGTTATGGAGAATATTGTATAATATTGTAGTTTACTTGTTTACGGATATGTTTTGATCAAACTTGGCAAATTTATTTATTTTATACTAAAATATTAATATTACAAAAAAGTCTGTAGCGACAAACCTACCTATATATCTGTCCTGTAGCGACAAACCTAGGCACTCGTTAAAAATTGTTATATTTAAATATATTTAATTGAAAATCAATAATTTAGGCAAATGGAAATTCGATTAGTCGGCAGGATTGTTGCGGCGGGGGTATTTTTTACTCTGGACCTTATATGTATACAACCAAAATCAAAATCTTAGCCATACCATTATAATATAGGTATAGTGTTGTCTAAAACATTAATAATCGGCTGGGTAACTATAGAAACATCAATTACATTTGCGAAAACCAGATAAGATTGAAAAATGTTCATCATTACAGTTATCGTCATTGGATTCGCAATTGTAGCTTACTTTAAAACACGTAAGTTTGCAAAACTCCTTTTAGCAACTGAGTGTTTTTAGCGGAATAGAGTCACAGCCTCGGACAGCGAAGAAAGTGAGCCATTGGAGTGGAAGTATAAGGGAAGAGAATCAGAGACGTCCACTAAAGTGAGTGTAAAAGGTATTGAGAAAATGTGGATGTTAGAGGAGGTAGAGGAAGAAGAAGAACGTGAGGTTAGTGATGTTGAGGCGATGGTGGGAGGGCTGGAGGATGTTGAAGTTCTGAGGGACCTTTACAAGTCTTCAGGAGATTTCCGTACCTTGAAGGGTATAAAAAACACCTCGGCCATGTTGAACTATAACATCGTCGGCGACGTAGGACCAGAATGCGGAGACCTCGGCACCTACCATATATTTGGTGTAATTTTTGAAGTAAATTACATATATTTTGTAAACTTACATGGTAAATTATTATTTTGGTCAGGGATTCATAACAATTTATTAAGTTCATAAACCTGCCTAAAAGCAAATGTACAGAATTTTAATTTCGTTTCTTACCAATGATGTCATCTATTGTAGTTACAGTCTGCAGGTTTGCTGCGGTGGGAGTATTTTAATCGTGCAGCCTAGAAATATCTGTAACAATAATGGTACCTACTTAAGGAGTGTACAAATACAATATAAAAACAGGCTATAAATAGTTAATGGTTTTAATTTAAAGCGCTCAATACGTACCAACAACAAACTATCTCCATACATTAGCGTTGGTAGAGTGTTAGGGGAATTTACAGTTTGATACAGTGCAGTCTATTTCCTCTACAATATTGAATTCAGCGGCTGCGAGCCTATAAAACAAAACCCATGAGCCTGTAAGTCTTGTTTATTTGAAATACTCTTCGTGCTCTATTCTGCTCTGAGCCAGTCACCTTGTTTATTCTTCTCTGTGTTGCTTTTATTCATTTTCAAATTGTAACATAACGTGCAGGGTATGTTAGGTACTAAACTAGTTGAAAATGAATACATGAATGCAATATAAACTCTTTCGTTGTATTGCGGTGGTGTTATTAATTTTGTGGTTGATGTCTTATAAGTCGAGTACCTGGGGACCGAGCTTTGCTCGGGAAATCATTAGTATTTACTCTGAGAGAAATATTTGTTCAATGTCATCTATCAAAAACATAATTGTTTATCAGTCTGTTATAATAGTAATATTGTAGTTGACTTTGTTTTTTAAGCAAAATTGATGATTCTCATGTAAATTAATATAGTAATTTATTCCATCTTTAAACAATAAAATATTGTGATTTATTTTTCAAAAAAATAAAAACATCCTAATTTGGCTACATTGTAGTTGAGTATAGACAACATGGCATGCTATAATATTGCAATTTAAGTTCTAAGGATTTCCACACAAGAACTGTAAGCATCTCAATTCACTTTTCCAAATAGTTTTCTTAAACAAACAAAGAAAAATATCACAGTAGTTACAATTAATATTACAGACTGAGGCTGCATTTATTGTAAAAACATGAAAACTACAAATTGTTTATACGATTGTTTTTTATAGACTAAAAACAAATAACATAACAAACACATAAGAATTCAAATTAGTCAGTTTTAAACCAATTTTAAACTATAAAAATGTAATGGTGATAAGCATTCAACTGTGGTAAAATAGGATATAATACAATTACATATTTTACCTCTGCTCTAGATTCTAATTTGACTATATTCTTCAGATTATCGACAATTAAGTCAACAAACTATTTAATCCAAACTAAATAATTTCAAGTAAGGTAAGCTAGTTATTATGGTACAAATTTAAATATTAATTACATAGACCAAAATGAACTAACATTTTCAATATTGTTCATCTGAATATTTCCATCCAAACAACGTTTTTAGTTAATTTTCTGTCTCTAGATGGCAAAACAACTTTTAAAGAGTTTCTTGTTCGTACTCTGGAGAAAGCTACATAGAGCATCCCATGCATGAATACGGGGTTGTTTAACACAACACCAACAGACTGAAAGGTTTGGCCTTGAGACTTATGGATGGTCATAGCAAAAGCTGGTCGAACTGGAAACTGATGTCTTTGCAGCGAACATCCGAGTTGACACTTGCTCGAATCCAGAGTGACTCTTGGAATGTGTACATCTCTACCAGAATGACTGCCAGTAATTATTTTAGCCTTAATAATGTTCGGACACAACTCCGTGACAATTAGTCTTGTGCCATTGCATAAACCCTCCGTCACGTCTAGGTTTCTGAGTAACATTATAACGACGTTGTTTTTTAGTCGGAGTTCATGAGGTGGTAAATCTGATATTTCAATTGAGTTTAAAAACTCAGTTGGGAATTTGAGAGCTCCATCAGGTTCATCTTTTACTGAATCAAAACTTTTATAAATTGTTTCTTGTCCAGGGATAATTTGGATGATCTCGTTATTGATATTATCAACATCTCTATTTAAAGGTGCAAGGATGGCTCTATCTCTCATAGCATTGTAATCTCTGTTGGCTAGGCAATCGCCATATATTTGTTCAACAATATTTCCATTTGAAATAATGTCATCGGGAATATTTATTTCACAGTCATTGTTGGTGGGCAAATCTCCATTTCCAAGTTGAAGGAGATATCCAGCAAATGCACTTTCATCGAGATTGACTCTCATGTTTTGATGAAGAGAGAAGAGCTTGAAAAACTTCCAAATACTGCAACGTTTTACAGAAAGGTCGATCAGCTCAGATCGATTTGCTCTAGGCTGGACTGGAAGGCATTGGCGGAAGTCTCCTCCTAGGATCATAGTTTTTCCTCCAAAAGGCAAGTTTCTGTTTCCTAAGCTTCGCAGGAGTCCGTCAATACAACTTAGGCCATATTTTGGTAGCATTGGTGCTTCGTCCATCATAAATACGTCTACTTCTGCCAGTTCTTGGGCCTTCTGAGTGCCTGGCTGAATTGATGATTTAGAATCGCTAGTCAATGGAACTTTTAGACCAAAAGTCCTATGGGTAGTACGTCCTTCAGGTAGCAAGATTGATGCAATGCCGGTATATGCCATGCATTTTACATTAAGATTTTTTCCAAGAATTAGATGGTAGAGGGTATTGTACACGTATGTCTTCCCTGTACCTCCTGGTCCATCGAGGAAAAAACACTTGGGGATGCAACTCATCGGGTCTTCTATTGCTTCCATAACAGCATCAACAAAGTCTTTTTGTTCGTTATTCAAATTGCTATATTGTCTGCGACCAATGGCTTCTAATTCGCTGACATTGTGGGTTTCTTCATTTCCCTCGTCTTGAAAATTCTGAATGTCATCCATACCATAGTTTTCCACCCAAAATTGGAAGTTTCGGCCTGAAATAAATAATTATTTTGAGTTCACTTTTTACAAAATCATAAGTATTAAAACATGTAGTATAATTTATTTTAGTCTAATGCTTTCTCTTATTTTAATTTGTTATAATATTCATTGCATATTTTTTATTTTTATTTTGCTTCACACTTATATTTAATAAAATTTGAACAATTATACACTCTAATTTTACAATTATCATAAATGAAATTAAAAAATATAAACGTTTCACAATGTTAATAAAGTTTATGGTCAAGTAATCTACTAATGAGTCACAGTAACAAATGCTAAATATTTAATTTAATAACAAGTTAGCATTTTCAATTCTGTACATAATTAGTATGGGTTAGTTTCTCATATTTTAGAACTTATGTGAAGCCTAAGTCTAGTGCGCTTCCAATGTTAGAATTGAAATTTAAGCCATAGAATCAGTTGATCAAAAGTAATTGTATGTTATTGTTATTGATACTATGAGAAAGAATTACCTTCAGTAGCTTCAGTATTCAGCTTATGGGCAATAATACGGTAAGCCTTCATGAGTGTTGTGATCATTTACTGCATGACTTATATTAGAAGATTCATTACAATAGGGAATGTAGTGAAATTGCACGTGAAATAATAGTTAAGTTGAAATAAATTTAGCAGAAATCTACTACCCAATAAATATAAAAGGAGGTGTATAAGTTAAAGCTAATTAAAGATTATTCCATCCTCTCATTAATTTAACTACCGCACTCGACATTGACAGAAATTGGTTTTTCAGTTATAGTATAATATGCTCAATGGTATAATCTGAATGTTAATTTCCTTTGCTCTGTATACACACATTGTTATTTCCTTTTGGTCTGTGTAAACATATGCTACAAATAGCATGGGCAAGCTGAGGTGCCCGTGGGTACAGAACGTCATGTTATGTCTTAAAATGTAAACAAAATGACAACAATGGCGGAATGTTTTCTCATAAGGCCCATGTTAAATTTTCAAAAGTTTGCACTCATATTATGGCGAAAATAGATTTTTCCTGGCTATACCACTGGTCTAGAACTTATTTTTGGCACAGAACTTAGTTATTCCGTAAATATAAACGATTTTGTTAGGGCCGATTCCCAGATCGAGTGGACAAGTATTCAAACTTTACTCGTATTATATATAGGATAGTAAGGACTGTATTAGATCATCTTTGATCATTATTTTGAAATGACTTTTAAAGACATTAAAATAATTGAATATTGATATGGTATTATGTATGATATGTTGAAGTAATTCACTAAAGATTGATATTTAACTTTGGTAGACCAATAGACAACATTCATTGACCATCGGCATGGCTAACCTACTCGCTGTCAGTTTAAGAGAAAGATATTATCATTTAAAATAAAATATAAATAAATATATTATACATTTTGAAGGGGTATCCACTCAAAATAAACTAAATTTAAGTTTTGTAATAAGTAATATTTATAAGTTGATTATTACCTTCTGTAGCTTCAGTATTTAGCTTGTAAGCTATGATTCTATATGCTCTGTTGTAAGAATCTTCTAGAGGGCTTCCAGAAATCTCTGCTTCTCTAAGAAAATCTTCTGCCAACTCGTCCTTAAACATATCCCAGAGACGTTTAGGGTTTTCTGGTGATCCGAGAATCAAGATTTGACAAAAGAGTGTCCTCATGACACTCGGCATCTTTGACAAAGCGGATTCCCGCAGCCCATCAATCCATTGCTGGTCATCATATGTAAGGCCTTTTGCTAGGCATGCTTGTTTATAAGTGGAATAGGCAGTCCCATTTACAAATTTAAGGTCTTCAAAACTTTTGGCATCTTTGGTATGGAAGAGGAGCATTCTTAAGTGATAAAGTTCAGGTTGGGCCACCAAGTTCACAGTGTGGATCCTTCCAATCGTTTTTGAGCTTCGCTGTCGTACCACCCATTCACTTGTTTTGCCTAACCATTTGTACTTTTCTGGCATCTGCCAGTAGAAGTAGTAGATTACTTCATTCCCATTCTCTTCTTCTATGTGAAGTTTAGAGTTGTGTTTAAAGTACGCCTCTAAGGTGGACCCTTTCAGGCCAGTGTCCGCTACATCTTCTTGTGTCTGTTCAATGTTTCCCACACGGTACTGACCTTCTAGATGGATGTCCAAACGTTGCACCGAATGGCTTTTCCTTTGGATTTCATTTCCAGCCAGCCTCCAACATGCTTCAGGGGGCGAAATATAACGTGCCTCAACAAATGTTTCTGCTTCATTATACATTATTCGGGCCACATTTTCAACAATTTTTACATTTGCGCAGTCATGCCCTTTATAAATGTATTTATAGAGGTACTTAACGGCTCTAACACTACCAACATACTCGATATTTATGTGGCACATGTATTTCTTCAGTAAATAGCCATTGTATGGAGCAACATGTCTATTGTCCCGTGTAACTTTTTGTCCATCACTGTTTTTGCGGTACACCGCATGGACGTGAGAAAATTCTGGGTTATTTGGATCCAGTTGTGGGTCATACCGTCTCTTGTAATTCGGTTTTTTGTTGTCAACAATTGACGTAAACTCTTGATGAGCTTTGGGGAATCCAAAGCGGCATTTAGCTGATCCACCCTTATTCTCCATACATGACGCAGACGGATTAAGTTCGCCACATGGATTGTGAATCATCCATTTGAGGACCAACTCCCTTAGAACTGGGTCATCATTAGGAATTTCTGCCGAAATGAAAGTGTCTACTTCCTCTGGAGACCGGAGTTTGTCTTCATTTGCCATGATGACAAGAAGATGTAGGTGGGGTAATCCTCGTTTTTGGAATTCTATAGTGTAAACAAAAGCAGAAGACTTCCCAAAAATCTGTTTCTTACTGATATCTTCAACTATGCTGTCAAATTTCAATTTGGCTACCCTAGCCACAATGTCAGGTCTTTCTTGGGCGAACTGTTGTAGTTTAGAACCATCAGAGAGCTCAATACATGCAGCTTCTTTTAATTCTGGCCATGTTGGACTGCACGTTATTGTGATAAAAAAGTCTGGAGAGCCAAACCTTCGGACAATTGCCATAGCGTCTTCAAAGTGTTCAGTGAAATATCTCGTTGATCCGGGAAAAGATGATGGTAAAATCAGTTTTTCAGCAACTGTAGCATTTTTCTTTTCAGCCAATTCATTTAGAAAATGTGTTACTCCTGCATACTGATCAGCTTGAAGTTTCTTTTGGTTATATTTGATCCACTGAATACGATCACGTTCAACACGGATGTATGTGTCCACGACGTACTGTTGAAACAGTCTACCACCAAAGTGGAGAGCATTAAATCCAATCGACCTTAGATCTAATCCCTCTAGCAATGGTTCAGGAGGAAGAGCCTTGGCTTGTTCTGGACGAAAGGCTAACCTGTATTGAGCCAACTCCATCCTCGTCATGTGTGCACGGCTTGCATAAGGCGTTTTAAGAGGAAGCCCTACAGTAAACCCAAAAGTTCCTTTTGGGTAGAGGAGAGGGTAGGTGAATGGTTCTACTCGGCTGTCAATGTTCTTGAGCGTTATTAACTGTTTTCCTCGCTCCTTAATAACCATCTCATTTTCCGGGATACTTTGGTCTGCATTTAATGTAATTACAGCAGCAACTTCATTATAAGTTGGTGAGTTGAATCGCCTGGGATCATCGCCTAAAAGTAAACATCGTAAATTAATGATATGAAAAACAAAAAAATCTTAACTTTAATCGTTATTTAGTTCTAAGAGAAAAATGACACAAATAAAAATATGTTTTTTACCCTAAAAACAAAAAAATTCATAATTTCTTTCCAACCCATTTTGTAGAGCTTAAAAAAACAAATAATTTAATATATTGAAGCGTTATTGTGCGCCTAATGGTTACGGAGAAAATTCCAAAAAATTGTAAATTTAAAATTCCTATGTTATTCTTATGGAGAATAAGTCAACTGTTTTAGTTTGCTTGTTTATGAACATATTTTGATAAAATTTGTAAAATACATTCATTTTTTACTAAACTATTAACATTTTACCACAAAACATCTTTTCGCAGCAAACCTAAGTACGTTAAACTAATCTATTAAAATAGGGAATAAATGTGATACTTTTCAGGAGACATTTTAGTGTAAATCCAATCAGGCAAATGGAAATTCACTTAGTCTGCAGGTTTGCTGCGGCGGGGGTATTATTATTTTAACAGGCTGTTGTAGTTATTCTTACATGCAATATAGAAAGCTACGGAGAAGAGAAGAGAAAGGAAATAAAAAAGGCTACGGCGCGCTTACTTATGCTTATATGGAAGTTTTCAGAGTTTAGTACTGAGATTGCAGCAAAACGTTAGTTGTGGCGACCCTTCAATTAAATTTCCCTTCAGAGTCATCATATTTATCGAGGAGTAACAAACACAAGACAACTTACTTGATAAGTTTGCATAAGTTTTATGTTTAGTTACTGTTTATTTTATATTTCTGATTTTATATTTTTGCAGCAACTACAAATAACATACAAAATAATTGTGATTAGAGAAAACAGTATTATTTTACCTGCACGTTCAGCAAACAGGAGGTGGACATGGGGTGGTTGGACACCAAGAGCTTCAGCACGTTGATTGTTTTCCTCAACTATCTCCCTCATCATCGTAAAAGCCTGAGAAAATGGGTTTTGACTTCTCATTATCTCCTCTAAAATCTGTATTAGTTCTTGATTGATGCCTTGATTCATTGGTTCATTCATACGTTCTGCAACGGCTGTTTCCGGATCAATGAAGTACATTTGGCCATATCTAGGTCTTTCCAAATCACCCTCACTGTTGCTGACTGGCTGAGCCGCCAAATTTAACTTGTGATACACTTGTCCACCAGCAGTAAATGTATAAATACCTTTACTATTGAAAGTCCTGTCATCAGCAACATTGAATGAAGAAAAAGCAAAACAGGCAGAAATATTTCGAATTTTATCGTGGAACTGTTTGGCTAGTCTGTGTTGTTTTGTGTACAGCAATGCCAATTCATTGGGAAACTCTGGCGCAGGTTGTTCAATGCGACCATGAAGGCAACAGTCACCAAATGAATTAGGGTGAATTCTGTTCTGCACTCTCTCTTTTAAAAAATGAACAGCACCACAATGAACACATGCGATGTCAAACATTCCCAAATTGCTGTACTCTACGAGGCTTGAGGCAGCGGCTTTATAGGATTGAAGTTGGTTACGCTCAGAATTCTGTCGTATTTCAGCTGTACGACGACGCTGTTCTCGCAGGCGTTGAGCACGCTCGTCTACCACTTCAGCATCCCTGCGGTTGGCATCTCTTTGCCTCTGTTCTTCAAGACGTCGAACACGCTCGTCATCGTCCTCGGCGGCTCTGCGGATAGCGGCTGCTTGCCGCAGTTCTTCAAGCCGTCGAACACGCTCGTCTTCTTCTTCGGCGGCTCTGCGGATAGCGGCTGCTTGCCGCAGTTCTTCAAGACGTCGAACATGCTCGTCTTCGTCCTCGGCGGCTCTGCGGATAGCGGCTGCTTGCCGCAGTTCTTCAAGCCGTCGAACACGCTCGTCTTCTTCTTCGGCGGCTCTGCGGATAGTGGCTGCTTGTCGGAGTTCTTCAAGGCGTCGTGCTCGCTTGTCCTCCTCCTCGGCAGCCCTGCGGTTGACGTCTCTTTGCCGCTGTTCTTCGAGGCGTCGTGCTCGCATGTCCTCCTCCTCGGCAGCCCTGCGGTTGACGTCTCTTTGCCGCTGTTCTTCAAGGCGTCGTGCTTGCTTGTCCTCCTCCTCGGCAGCCCTGCGGTTGACGTCTCTTTGCCGCTGTTCTTCGAGGCGTCGTGCTCGATTCTCCTCCTCCTCAGCAGCCCTGCGGTTGACGTCTCTTTGCCGCTGTTCTTCGAGACGTCGTGCTCGCTTGTCCTCCTCCTCGGCAGCCCTGCGGTTGGCGTCTCTTTGTCGCTGTTCCTCAAGGCGAGTGGCACGAGCCTGGCTGTCTTCTGACATTCTTCTTTGCTCAAAATAATTTACCTTTTCTTCCACCATAGATTGACTTATTTGAGCACTTACATCAGAAATTATCTCCAGAGCCCTTATCTTTGCACATCTAATGGGTTTGTTGGAAGTCATCAGCTGTACAAATAAAAAATCTGTATTAAGGTTGTGTTAATTTGTAATACTGCAACATTTGTATCCTAGTCTACTGAGAGTAAAAATTGAAGCATCACCTGGCCAATTTTAGAATATATTCCTATCTACACTTGTTGCGTTATACTCACTCTTGGCATACTCCAATACCAGAATAAGAATAATAATTTATCATAATGGAAAATAAAAATAAATGTATAACAACTTCAACAAACAATACCAGTAGGTCTATTTGTTTACTAGCAACAGTAAAGACTCATGAAAATATATGATGATCCTCTAACCTATATCCACCATTAATGGTTACTTTTTGCAAAAGTTATCTTTTCTATTCCGGTCTTTAGGTACATAAGGCATTTACACTGTCCAAAAATCGAGTAATGCAATTTTTAACCGCATACAATAACAATAATGACAGATTTTTTTGCGTGATTAGAATATTTTTTTTAAATTTTCTGTTTGAACCAAACTCATACTTTTCTACAGTACAATAAATGTAATTTCAAATATGAATTAACCACAAAAAGAATGGTTCAACTTTTTAAAATTATTTAGCCTACTGTGGCAATGCGGTTTAGGTATAGTTACTCATACTCACATTTTCATCTGATTGATCTGGTAACATGCGCACTCCATTTGTGACCTGAAATTTAAATATTTGTCTTTTATGCTTGTTGAAAGGTAATTTTAATTGTATCTAAGTGTAAGCTATTTTTCAAAGATCGTAAAATTGGTGACTGATTACTTACCTACTTTATTAGTTATTGGTATTATTAATTTATCACAAAATAATATTTATAAACTAAATAAATTAATACTTTTGAATAATTTTACATTAATAATACGGTTGAGATGATAATAAAGACTCACATTTTGTTCAGATTGAACTTCTAAGACACATACACCAGACCCCTCAGGTCCTTCAGGATCAGGTTCTTTTGCAGCCTGAAATAAAAAAAAAATGTTTGATCAAAGAAAGAAAATTTAAGCTCCTTTCTAAAGGTCGTAAAAAATGGTAACTAACCCTATAGCCTACCTCTTCCTCCACAATGCTACTTACTTACTTTCCGTGTCCGGAAATCAGACTTCGCTTTTCCAGAAATTAGCTACCGATATGGCTTTGTCATTCGCTTGTAAAAGGTAATCTAATGTGGTCTAGGCATGGACATCAGTACATGGCCGGGATCCTGAACAACACCACACGCACACAAGACGTTTTCTTCGTCTTGTAAGAGACCCATTTCTGCATGTTTGTCTTGCATTTTGGTACCTCGACCCTGATTCGGTCTTGAGTCTTCCACACCGTGTAATGAAGGCATCCACCAGGAGCCAGTTCCTCCCTGGCTGGTATGGGAGGGTTGGCCTCCCACCTTTCCATCCGATTGCTCTGAGAGTGATCCATCCAGAACTCGTGTCCGTGGTATGAAGCTCTTTTTGGACCGAAGTAAGACTACACTACATTAAGATATTTGTGTGTAGGACAATGCTCAAGACGGTCTCCCCACCATGTCACATTCAACTTACAGCCTGCTTCTCTATTGTTTGGGTGAAAAAGGCACAAACTTTCTGCTTGAAACACTCTTGCTATTTCAATAGAACAAATTCCTGAATGATATTAGATTTTACAAATTTATAATTGGATGCTAGCTCATACAAAACCATTCTTATCTACAGGTTTTGAAGTATTGAAAACTTACCATAAACTCCTCATGAGCTTGCCTAACTACTAAAATATATTAGAGAAACTGACATCATTATATTTATTTAACCATAATGACCAGTAAATTGGACAAAAGTTAAGAATTCAAATTTTTTAATTAAACAAATAAGTTTATTCCTTAGTTATCCTACCTTTATAGAATTGTTTTAATCCATCCTAAACAAAATATAACTATTTCAATGTAATGATGTTCACAAAATTGTAAATTGTCATCTAACTTTTTAATGTACCTCACACAATGAGCTATAGAGAAATATAAAATAAGCAACTCTATTCCAATTTCTGTATTCGTGGTGTAAGCTAGTAATGACATACCACACGGATTTAATGTATGTAATTAAATTAATAAAGGTATATATTTTATAACTTACCTGGTCTTCATCAGCTTTGTGACTTTTAAAGAAATTCCCCAACTTCTTCAAACTTCTATTTGGTGGTCGTCCTCTTTTCATGATTTAAGATTTTTTGTTGAGTACATTTCCATCTAGTAACGAATTTTTTGAGGCAAGATGTTTACAAACAAAACTCTATTGTTGATACGTTAATCACAAACATGTGACTTTTAACCACGTGCTTAATGCAAAATTTTTATTTCAGTATTAGTTTTGTAATTATTTATTTCAGTACTAGTTTTGCCATAATGCATAATGACATAATACAATCCAATCGGGTTGAGTCGACTCTAGATTTTAAACAAAGTTGGCCACAATAAGAATAAAATATATTCGACTTTTTTCGAGCTAGTGATATAGTAATACACTTTTTACCGTTCTAGAGTTGAGATATATAGTTACCAAAGTATGTGCTTGCATAAAGCTCATACAATATTGACATAGGCCTACCACTTTTCCATAATTTCATACTACATAAATATTTTACCCTTTTCTTAGGATTTAAGCATGGATAGAACATGATAAAACATAGTCCCTTAGTAGATTTCCCATCCTTATGGAACAGCTGAAGCCAATTTTATTGTTAGTTCCGCCCGGTTTTCTGTAGATGTCGTGTTTGGTTTACAATTTGTTTCTTGTTATTTCAGTAATTTAAACCCTAGTTTAACCAAATAAAACTATCTAATCATAAACAATAACTCGTCCATTAGCTATATAACCAAACAGTGAGACACAAATAATGAGAAACTAACCCTAAAATAATAGAAACAGATTGTAGACAAAAACGACATCTACAGAAAACCGGACAGAACTACCAATAAAATTGGCTTCAGCTGTTCCATAAGGATGGGGAATCTAACCGTAGCATTTGAGTATTTTAGATACATTAATCCAACTGCCGCAGACGCTTCCTACACTCCGCACTGCTAGCCTTTACTACAAACATTGTATCCAGTAATCTTCAGCATAATCTTTGCTTAATAGTAACAACTGATGTTTTTGCTTTTGTACTGTATTTTGTAATTTCTAGTATACTGTGGGTAGATGCCTTTATGAACACATGTTTTAACTTACAAGTCTTTTGTTTACTTTTTCCTTGTTATTTAATTCTTCCAACATGGTTACTTAGCAACCCATAAGACTAATGTTAAAAAAATGTGACTTTCAGTTTCATTTTTCTACGTAATTAGATTTTTGTTGGCAGTTGTAACTGTAGTAAACTCGTTTTTAGGCCAAAAATAATCTATTTACAACATTTGAAGAAAATCGTCGGAGCCGTTTTCGAGATCTTGGTGAAAGCAAGCAAGCAAGCAAGCATACATACATACATACAAGCAAACATTGCTCGTATTAGAGTATAGGATAGGATTAAAAGGAGTGGGTACTATTGCAGGTACGTCTAATAATTGATTTTAAGGGATTTTGACAAGTTTGCTATATGAATACTGTTTTATTTATTTGTTGTGTGTTTTTACGCCAGTGGAATGTTTTACGGTTGTAAAGGGAACAGCCCAAATCCTGGTCTTGTAACTACCTAATGTAGACCTTTTTGTTAGATAGCATTAATTCATAGGTGTTATATTTCGTCCTTCCCTATAAAATAGATCTGGTTTCTTCCCAAACAATATAAAGGAAATCCAAACTATATATGAAAAGGGGGCTAAGAAAGTCTTCATCAGGATGGTGGGGAAAAATCGTTATCTATCCACCAAATTGTTGTCATCATTTCAATATACATCCTGTTTTTAGTATATGATAAATTTATAGCTCTACGAAGGAAAGCTTTCGCAAACGTTTACTAAATGTTACTACTGTACAAACTCCCATTGTATATGAAAACAATTAATGAACCATAAATTTGTTAATTTATTTGTACGATTATTCATACTAATAAAGTATCTTGACTCATTATTTTAGACTGCAAGTTTGAAGTCACATAAAATATTTAAATTCTTCAGTTAACCAGCAAAGTTAGGATCACATTGTCCTTTCATGCGCTTAAGTTGACACATAGAATAGAAATAATACAAATAAATAAATAACTATATTGACATTGTATAGTTGCGCATCTGCCGCTTTTCTTGAGGTAACGGGGTCGAAAGGTCAGAAGCTTAGTTATATTTATAGCCTCCGCTTTTTCTTCCAGAACCATAAAACAAAAGCGTGGTTAATCTAGTGGAATTTTATCGCTCCAGCGCGTATAAGCAGCCCTGTATCGCTGATCTCAGTACACGGGGACGACTCGCCCTGTCCACCCGCGCTGCTGCCCGTGTGTGCGCGTCCGTGAGTGTGTGTAACATAGGTAGTTGTTTGTAGTGTTTATATCCTAGTGTAAACATTTATACATATATTTAATCTTAATAGACTCAAATATATGACTGTGGTAAATAGTACTTACATTACATAGCACCAAAAACTGATTTTTAATTCCTGTAATAATGTCTTAAATTCTCGGTTTGCTGTTAGGGTCAAAATGGAATTAAATATAAGTTTTATCTATATGTTTATTAGACAATCATCTAAATAAAAGGAATATTTCACCTAATAACTGGTTTGATAACTACAGTATATAGCTTTAAACATTTTTGTAGTTTTTCTCTGAATTTTTACAAAATTAAATACAATTGCTAGCCTTTTTGAACTAGTCTAATGTATATTATACTCGTAACGATGTGTAATATTGATTAAAATGAATTCAATACTAGTTGGTTTTGATAATGAAAACTCGTGAAAACGTGCATAACTTATTATCCCGATTGTCATTTAACTAGTTAACTTAATCAATCTGCGTAAAATGTATGCACTTAAAGCTCAGAGAATGTATACATGTACAAATATTGACTCTATGCATAAACATGACACTCCATAGATAATTTATGTATTTTCTCACCCATACTACTCTAACATTGCTTGAATAACCGGGCACGCGAATGTTATATTCTAGAAAGTATAATTCTTTAGTTAATATCGGATACAGTATCTCTGAGAAACGGTATATGAGTTACTCCCATAATTCATGGCTATAATCGACAACATTATTGGCTATAACCATGTTATCACTGCTACACTGGACGACTGGACTGCAACAGGGATCAGTGTATCAGGTTACAGTAATGATATGTGTAATAATGATGCGTGACGTTCATCGTTATAATCATTAATCTGATATTGTATGTTTAACCGATGGTTTTAATCAGTTTTGCTGATCAATTTGATTAGTTACTCTGACAGTTTGATCAAAAGTTAGTACCAGTTGATCAATTTGACAGGTACCGCTTTCGGTCTGACTCAAAGTATATACCAGTATTTCCGGACAGGTTACTCTGTAGGTTTGTTTCAAAGTTCATACCAGTTTTTCTGATCAATATGACAGATTACTTTGTAGGTTTGGATCAAAGTTTATACCAGTTTTTCTGATCAATACGACAGGCTACTTTGTAGGTTTGGATCAAAGTTTATACCAGTTGTTCTGATTAATATGACAGGCTACTTTGTAGGTTTGGATCAAAGTTTACACCGTTTTTCTGATAAAGATGACAGGTTACTCTGTAGGTTTATCTCAAAGTTTATCAGTTTTCCGATCAATATGACTGGTTAATTTGTAGATTTTAACCAAAGTTATTCCTAGATTTGCAGATATAGTTGTCAGTTTACACTGATGGTTTTATCCAATGTTAACATCAGTTTTCCTGATCAATTTGACAGGACACGACCCAATAAGAGGTTAACAATCCCATTCGTATTTTATGATCGCTACTTTAGCTCTGGGGAAATAAAACTGAGGATTTTACTGTTTCATTACTTTTAGTGGTTGTAGCTGAAACTAGTTGAAGTGTACTTCGGAAAGATGTTTAATTTAGTAGTTGTCGTTCAGACACTTTTCTAAAGAGGTTTTATCAACTTATCAATAGGGTTTGCAACTTGCGTAAAAACAGTATTCAATAAATTAAACAATTTGAAAATCCAAAATAATATGTTTGAGAAATTAAAATCAATAGTGTTGTAAAAGTGAGTGCACACTATGACCAAATCAAGAGCCAGCAAGTTTGTGTGGACCCACTGCGTCAACCTAGGTGAGTAGTAAACTAAACGCAAATAAATGAACAATTGTTAGGCTTAATTGGACTAAGAAAAAGTGATAGCAAAATGGCGATGCTTACTCACTTGTAGTATTTCCTAGACAGAGAGCCGGTCCTCTTCGCCTATT